ATAAATTGGAGGCTTTTGATTGGATATACAAAGAACTATATTAAGTACTATATAAACTTGATTTATATGGGAAAAATATTCAAGTAATCCATAAACCTACAATAATTATTGGCAGATGTAATCCTCAAACTATATAATTATCAATGTGTATATATTTCCTGTCCCATTTGTAGTAGAAAGGGAGGTAAATCAACTTGAGTAAATTTGGTTACTTCCCAAACATAAAATATTTAATTAATCAGTTCCTTCACTCCTAATTTTCTTAGATTGCAGCTTTATTTGTTCATGCCTTTCATGTTGGGCACTCAGATACCTTTGTCTTGTGATTGTCTTGCTTCAACTTGGTCTTGAAATAGGCTTTATCATAACCATCTTATATTCAGTTGCTAATTTTTTTCTTCCTAGAGAAAGATTACTATTTCAGTGTTACATTAATACACATTGAGCAAAAAGTAATTTATATGATAAATGAAAACGTCAATGAATCAAATACATTTGACCATCTTGTGCAGATTATTCATTGTCCTCTATTTTAGTTGCGAATTCCTTATATCTTCGCTTTATTGAATCTCAGTACATTGATTCTTCGTTTTATCTCCCTATTAAAACTAGCAAAAGATCAAACACTGAGGAAGAAAATGAACTCTCAGACAAGGTAGCAAAGTAAAGATTACACAGTTGTCAGTACATGTATTTGAGATGCCAAAATCAAGTAAAGAAATTCAACCGAGTTGTGTAGTAACGAACTATGACATTCCAAGACACACAGGAATATCAAAAGGTCATTTTCCAGAAACATGAAGACAGATACTGTCTATAATAGAGAATTGTAATTATTTACACTATTTACATTGGACTGTTGTCCCCAAAATTTATGTTTTGGCTGTTGTACACTCCAGCCTTCTTCAGGTAATTGGAATTTCAAACTGAACCCTTTATTTCATTCAACTGGAGTAGATTGTTTAAGTTCTACATGCCAGGCTTCTTCTGGATGTCCCAGTAATCTGCTTTTAACTCTCCAAGATTTTGTTCACATTTGCTGTAGGCAGGTAAGGTACTCAACACTTTTGAGTCAAGTCCTTGAGTTGTGGGTTCAATACCTAGAAATATGGCAATGAAGATGAGGACAGTCCAAACAATGTAAATAATAAGGAAGAATGTTGAACTACTATGCAATATCTAATTTATATGGTAGTGATTTTTCTCATAGATGCAAAAACTATACAATAAAGATAGGGTCCTACTGATCAATGTTGACAATATGTGAACAATAGTTTTTAGAGGAAGTAGAGGTGCAAGGAGAGCTGAAATTTCTGGGATGGAATAAGAGTACACACTTAAAGCCAGTCGTAAGTAACAGTAACCCATTTACATTTGTATGAATGGATGGCAAAACAAGGACAAAGAGGGATAAAGATAGAAGTTGTGGAGAGACAATACTTCAAAGAACTTAACCCATAAGAGTGATGCTAACCACAAGACATCTAATACATCCGGGATGAGTATAATACAGTAGAACTCCCCAAATCTGAACATAGCATAATCTAGGATAACAAATCGTACGACCATCATGCGTCACCAAGAATGGAAGTCACTTCGGGCCAGTTTGAACCTTTCTTACCCGGCACAGTTTGTACTGAAAACAAATAAAGAATCCAAGCAATGGCCGACAAAAAGATTTGGGGATTGGATTTCAAATTTATTAATCAAAATTTGTATCTTTACTTGGTAATGCTGCCCAGCAAAATAAAGTGCTGAGTAGCGACCGTCTGAAAGAATTTATTTAGGCATAGTTTTGACCAAATGTATCATAGGACAAATTTGACTTCGATATATGCCATACGTCATTCACACATTGTCTCAATTTAACTTTTTATAAATGTGTCATATATCCAAAAGACAATCATTTTGCTTGAGAGTCAATAAAGCTAGATCCTTGTTTTACCTCCCCCCACCTGATATCCAAAAACATTGAAACTAGGAAAACAATCACAACCTTAACTTCTATATAACAATCTTATTCTATCCATGAATAAAGTAACAAGACAACTTTGAATAATATGCCAACATGTATGATTATCCATTAAAAGAGAAAATTGTTTTCAAGAGAGCATAGCAAATCACAAGTTGGCTATATGCTGAAAAAAAAAAAAAAAAAAAAAAAAAAGAGAGAGAGAGAAAAGAAAAGCAGGCACCCACACCCATCTGGGTATACCCAGAAGCAAGCAGCTAGGATATTCATGTAGCAACAGCAACACATCCCTGAATATGTTATGATCAGATGTTTCCAAAGTACTGAATGCCAATTATGGGCACAAATACACATCTGAACATAGCATAATCTAGACTTCCTAGAATTTGGACTTCTTCAAATCCAAAATTTTGTATCGACATAAATGTGAAGTTTTTTTCTTTCTTTCAATCTGAAGAGTATCAACAATATCAAACATCTCAAATGTTTAGTTTAGAGTTGTACTGTATGTTCTTATTTTTGACTTCCTTTTCTTGAAAATATAACACAATAAGTAACTGTTCTAACGAAAGAATATATTAAAAGCACACTTTCCTATAAAAAAAAAAAAAAAAAAAAAAAAAGAAAATCTTACAACCTGCAAAAAAAAAAAAAAAGCTTTATGAAAAACTTTTCATGGACCAAACTCAAAATGGTTTTCCTCAAAATGATCTTTATGCTGGAGCCTAACATGAAATTTAATGAAGGTTAGCTTACAAATTTCAAGACTCGACAGGGAATGCAGCAATTAAGTTTCATGTGAACAATGCTCAGCTGATATGCAGACAGCAAAGGACAATTTAACCCAGACGAAATCTACAACACTGAGGAAAGTGATATCTATTGGAAATGTTTGCCTACAAAAACTTTAGTTGTTGTGGATGAATGTAAAACTTATTTATAAACTAAATAAAGTCCGATAGTGCCGGTGTGCTAATGCGTCAAGTAGCCACAAACTTTTAGTTATTAGAAAAACTAAGCCACCCCCTTCTTTGAAAGGAATTGTGCAATTACCAGTCACATACAAATCCTAAAAAAAAAAAAAAATGCAGGAATGAATCAGTATGTTTACCCATTTGTTCTTTCAGCTTATTCCATCTGCAAAAAGCTGCTTTCTTGAATTAGGCAAACCAAATTCAAGATACTTCTTTTAGACAATTGCAAAGCCCATGCACAAAGATAAATTAGTGTCATAGTGTGGAAAAATATTTTTGCATGCTATTTACCAAACATTACAGGCAATGTCAGCCTACAAAATTTTCAGAAAAAGTTTACTGTCAAATATGCCATGTTTTTACTCACACCTCATCTTGGGATGAGGTGAAAGCTGACAATTTAAGTGCATAGGGAAACCTGTACAGAGAGATAGAACTAATGTTGCAGAATGTAATGCTAAAAGTGAAACAAATTTAGAAAAAGAACCAGAGGTGCAGAAAATTATTAAAACTTGCCAACTTCCTACTGAACACAAAATATCTTCAATCCCTTGATGACAATGATGTAGCATGGGTCAGTCAAGAAGCAAGAATAGAAGATGCTACTCATAACAAAGACAGTATTGAAGATAGTTGCAGTACCAGTGAGCCTATATTAGACGATCAAAGTGGTGATGAAACAGCATCATCGGAAAAAAGCAGAGAAGTTTATTGATACACTACTCAACTTCATTGAACAAAATCCTTTGTTCAATGACCACTGAAATATCCAGACAAATTACAAACTGAAATTATCAAAAAAAAGAAACTAGAGTAAAACAAGGTACTCTCGTGAAAAGAGCCATAGAAACAACTGACATGAACACAAATGAAGAATGCAGTGATAAATTTATAATTTTTGTAAATTCTTAAACATTTCAAAGGGTCTTAGTTTTTCACAAATTACAATTTTTAGCTCAAAATTTTACATTACTATTGGGCATCAATCTTTTGTAAATTTATGTATTCAATCTACACTTTAAATAAAAATGAATCAACATTACAAACTACCGTTTGTATCTTAAACCTAAAAATTTTAAGCTTGCCACAGCAGCCTTTTCTTCATCCAATCTGAACAGTACTCTCAATACCAAACATCTCAGATGTCCGATGTAGTTGTACTTTACATACACACACATTTTAGCAAGCACACAACTTGATACATCATATGTTCAACAGTCATGTGCCATGCATGATACAAGCTTAGGCATCATATATCTTTCAATACATGACTGATGAGGCAGACAACCTCCCCACAGTAGGGTGCCATCCAAGGCTATAGAACCTGGTCTGTCCTGCTATTTACCTATAGCTCGAGGGAAAAGATGAGGATTCCTACCTTTCCCAAGGGTATTAGCATGTAAGTGAATGTAATGTTTGGCAGTGGAGTTTGTATTTACAGTGTCACAAGAAATGAAAATAGGAAAAATAAATATTACCATACAAGATACTGTGGCAAAGACTTAGTAACACCAAAACTGAATGGAAGTTCTCACCAACTGAAAAGTTCCAAGTTGTTTTATGAAATGCACCACAACTCTGGTTCCAGAGTAAATATTATGGATTGGTTTGTCTATTTTACCAGCACATCAACCCTCTCAAGTATATTATTAGCCAGGAGACCAAACCTCACTGACCCCAATCTGAGCACCCGAGATGTGAACAACATATCTTGAATTTAGCAGCTAATGAACCTTCCACATTTTAATCATGACAAAAAAATACCAGTATCAAACAAATTTAAAAGTGTAGCTAAAAATTGTGGAATTATTTTACAAAAGTTCTCAATGATCATTCAATTGCTGCAGTCAATGTAAGCACAATTCACCCAAATTTTAAATAAAAAAATCTTAGCTGTCTACAGAACTCAAGAGATAATAATCTTTAAGGGATTGAAAAGAACAAAAACACCTTCACTTCACCTGCCAAAGACAGATACTGTTATTCCTTTACAAAAAGGATCCAAGACAGATTCAGGATTCATTTTTTTTTTTTTTTTATTGACTGTTTACATTTTATTGTTGTTGCTTAGCAGCAATCCTTTTGTCTCTCTCTTCAGAAACAGTCAGCCTGACACCCTTGCCTCGGGGCAAAGATACCCATGGTTTGTTTCCTTTGCCAATAATGAAGACGTTCTTGATCCTGAAACAATGTAAATATTCATTTATTTATTGGGGGAAAAAAAACAAAACAAAAAAAAAAAGTCAATCATTCATCTTTCCCCCCTCCATGAAGCAGTAGTGACAGACAAAAATTTTAAACCCTATTTATTTAGCTGCTTTTCAATTTACCAAAAGATTTTAATCCAGTTGATTTTATGTCATATAAAAATTTAAAAAATGCAGAATCAGACTCAAAAGTCAGTCAGAAATAAGAAAAAGGACATAAGAGATGACTTCTTACCTAGTGGCAAAGATATGGCCAAGTGTGTCTTTGACATGAACAATATCAAATGAACCTGGATGCCTATCTCTGTGTGTAATGACACCTACTCGACCAATGTTGTGACCTCCAGTAATCATGCACAGGTTACCTGAATAGACAAATTGAAAAGAACATCAAAGGTATGTCTAGTGACAAAGACATTTTAGCAAGCATAAAATTACAGTAGAATAATCAAAGTTTGAAAAAAAGAAAAATTGATATAACAATGCATGTCATGTAAAACAGTTTTCAATTAAATTTATGGCTTACCAGAATCAAATTTAATAAACTCCTTAATTTTCATGGAGGCCAGATCAAGCAGAATACTGTCGTTCACTTTGATTAGTGGATCAGGATAACGAATCGTACGACCATCATGTGTCACCAAGAATGGAATTCCTTTAGGACCAGTTTGTACCTTTCTTACACGGCACAGTTTGTACTGAAAATATAAAGAGGAATGCAAACAATGGCAGACAAAAAGATTTGGGGATTGGGTTTCAAATTTATTAATCAAAATTTGTATCTTTACTTGGTAATGCTGCCCAGCAAAATAAAAGTGCTGAGTAGCGACCGTCTGAAAGAATTTATTTAGGCATAATTTTGACCAGATGTATCATAGGACAAATTTGGCTTCGATGTATGCCATGAGAAAAGTCATTTACAGATTGTCTCAATTTAACTTTTGTGTCATATATCCAACAGACAGAATCAATTTGCTTGACAAAACAATCACAACCTTAACTTCTATATAGCAATCTTATTCTATCCATGAATAAAAATACAAGATAATTGAATAATCTTCATAAATTGTCCCCTCATGTGTAAAAATACTCACTTTGGCCTCATCAGTTTTGATACGGTGAATGGCAAATCTGCCCTTTGCATCATATATCAAGCGGAAATGCTCACTAGTCTTTTCAATAGTAATGACATCTATATAAAAAAAGAGAAACCCTTTAAGTTTTCATTTAACAAAATTATCAATGCAATAATCCAAAGAGATACAAATTTCATTGTAAGTTATTCTTAGTTCCCATTAATGAAATGAAAATTCTGTGGGGAATTAGAAAAGAGGTTGTAAAGACTATTTTGTAACTTTCCAATCTCATAAATTTATAAGATTCCTATATGTAAATCATTCTAACTTGATCCTACACCAAATCACTAACAGTGATCAAATGTCTTATTTTATACTTAGAAGTAACAAATATGGTAAATGATATTTATATCCAATTATAATGAAGGTATTTCATGATAACCTTGTATTCTAAATATAAAGTAGGGAGGGGAGGTGTTATTTTAGACATACACTGAAATTATTGTACTAATAAAGCTACAATGACTTTTACCAAATTAAAATGGACTACTTATTCAGCACAAGTCAGAAGAGCATGTGGATATGTTAATTTCTGCTTATGGATCTGAAATTCTCAAGTGATAAAGGAATTCAATTCCCCAACCCCCAATGTGGAGATTATAAAAATTCTTTTAATTTGTCTAATAATAATTTTAAAATATCCAGATAATTTAGAAGATTAACTTCAATGTTTACCCTAATCACAGCTAACAAAAACAAACATCTCTTGATGACAACTAGCAAATAGAAAGATGATCATAATTTCCCAGGGTATTTCAATTATACAAGATTAGTAAAGTTAATGATTAACTTGATTTTAGAAATCTTAGCTCTTGAATTTTATATCTGCTTGCTTAGATTTCAACAATAGGAGGGGAAAAAAAATGCAACATTGTGAGACAGCTCATATGAACATTTTAAACTATTAGATATAAAAAAAAAAAAAAAATCCCATTAAAAATAAGATTATAATGGGATATTTTATAGAACTAAAATTGATTACGATTTAGATCAGCACAATTAAATATTAAATTTGAACGAAAATTGATCAAAGATTGAGCCTTAAAAAGACATATGAGCTTTGTTAAAAGTGAATTTTTTTCTTTTTTGCAATTGGTTTTAGAGGCTGACCTGTTTTAATATGAAACTTTATGCATTAAGCTATTCAAAATGTAGAAAAATTGTTTTGTTACTTGTATAAATAATGATACAACCAGTTTTATAAAGGGTTATATGTTAAACACACAGGATCACTAAGAAATAATCGTAATAGGAGGAGGGAGGGGGGGGGACAATGTCACTTACCCATGAAGCCAGATGGATATGTAGGATCAGTTCTCACTTGGCCATCAACTTTAATCAACCTCTGTTTAACAATCTTCTTTACTTCATCCGAAGTGAGCGCGTACTTCAGACGGTTTCTGAGAAACAGAATGAGGGGGAGACATTCCCTCCACTTGTGTGGTCCAGTGCTGGGTCGGGGAGCCTAGACATCAATCAAACATTTGTTTCAATAGATGAGAAAATAAAATGTGCATATGACAGCAATTCCACTTACATAAGAGAGCAATCAGAAAATTTGCATTAACCATATACATTTTTTAATAACTAGACTATTTGAGTGGGTACGTGTTTAAGTAAACATTTTTTTTTTTAGACAAAGAAATTACTGTTTACCGGCCTACATCACCGAAAGTTCAATTACAATGTACTTCTGGGAAAACATCTTTTAGTGAGGCTATCCTTAAATTAAGGATTCGGACAGTTCCATACAGTAGTAAGGTACAGCTCAATTTCCCTTTAAGAAATTTACATAGCTTACTGTCATCTTTTGAATCGTAAGTAATTTAAGCAAAATTTAATTATATTTAAAGACCAGGAAATTATACACTTACAAATACTCCACCGAGTTTAGCCAGCATCCAATGTTTGGGAGCTGACAAGCGCTTTACGTGCTTTCTTCGACCACGGTATCCCTGGAAAAAAAATGTTGACAAAATGTGATTAAATTGGAAAAAAAAATATATATAAAAATGGATAAACACGTTCTTATATAAACGAACATTTAAACGGTTATCAAATAATGAAAGAAAAAAAGCTTAGAACACTGTTTCATGGTAGAGATTTTACTTTTGCCTCATGTAAGTGTTCAAAGGCGATTCCAACTTAGGAGCTTGGCACTATACAATCTTCTTATCCAATTTGGGCATTGTGTTCATATTTAGAAGATTACTTAAGATTAAAACTTATAAATACAGGTAGATTAATAATATAAAAAAAATAAAAAATTGAGGATGAACCGATGACACCAAAAACTATAGTGATGTCCCGCTTTCTAAACCCAAAATAAAAAAAAAAAAAAAAGAGGCACTACATTATACAACATATCGATCACTACGTCAACAACTAAATTACTTTTAAAACAAATCAAATTATATTTAAACCTAGTGTGGAATATTTAAGAATGAAAACGTGAAACTGGCGTTATCGATTTCAGATTATTCAATGCACGTGTGCCTCAGTTTTTAATTTACATATTATATATACACACTTTTCACATTTTGTGTACTTAATATATATCTTTATCTGTGTAGGAGAAAAAAAATCAAATCGTTTATATTCTGAAATGATGTTTTTAAAAAGAAGGTTGAGATTTAATTGAATGCACCCATAAACAAGACAAATTTAAAATCTATTACTTCTGGTTTCAAAGATCAGCATCTTTTTTTTTTCCAAATGTTTAATATTATTTAACAAAAAATAAATTTAAATCCGAAAGGAGTTTAACATATATATATATATATACACACACACAGCATTACAAATTAATGATTTTTTTAACTAATTCTTAGACATTAAGGCAAGTTTGAAAAAAATGGCGAATCACGGAGATTAATCGACTTATTTATTACAAGTGTTTTTCAAAAATAAGTTGGCATCTAATATACAATTGCTTAATGTTATAAAGCAAGTGTTGTAGGTAATAATTAAACTAATTTTTAAAAATAATAATGACAATTAAACAATCATTAACAAAATCGTATAACATGTGTCTGAGTGTTGAAACCAGCGTGGCGGTGAACCGAGGGTTGTAAAAATATATTGTACAAATTTCCGAATAAAACATAGATTATCACAGTAAATAATGAAATATAAACGTGCCATGATGTATGGGCGATAAAACTAATGTATAAGCAATTGATACGAAAGTCAAATAAATGCAGATGGAATTAGATTTAAGAGAGAGAAAATTAACAATACTCACCATGTTGAAGACTTATGAGTAAAAGGCCGAATAGATTCAGTCTGCGCAAGCGTACAACTTCAAAATGAGGCTCAGTTCCGATATGCATTTTCCGCTTCCGGTAGAAAATTCAGGCAAAATAAAAGATAGACGGGAATGAAAATAAAGTAAGGAAACTTTGTAACGAGCCGCGTGATTGAATGATTTGGAATGAAAATGGGCCAATCACAATGTGTTTCTTTTGCTCGTCAATTTTCCGTAGTTATCGCCCGTGTTGTCGTTTTTGAGAAGAGAGGATTATTTTGCCAGAGGATTTCACTTGTAAGACAGCGTAGTATCATCGCAACCCAGAAGGTGACGCCTTTGATTAAGAGTGGCACCGATGTGTAAATATGGACGAGGAAAGCAGTAATCATGACTCTGGGGCCGCTGGTTTTGATGAAGAGGACGGAGAATCGCCTTTTCTCGGCTATGCGGCCGCAGTTGGTGTTGATGGACCCGGAGAAGGAGGTGAAGATGATGATGACGACGACGATGATGATGATGATGACGACGAAGAAGAGGATATGACTTCAATGACTGCTGTCTTTATTGAATCGGATATGGACGATGCAGCTAACACATCTCATCACTACCGGGATGGAATAATAATTGGAGATGAAAACCCCAACAGCAATCGTTTTTCTGCAAGCCACCTTAAATGCAGAGATGATAGACAACCTCAGTTTTCAGCTTCGTCTCTGGAGACCTCAATTGGAGGGTAAGTTCACAAAAACATAACTTTGCTTTTAATTTAGTTTTAATTAACTGCTTACTTATCATAAAGCTAGCTTTCGTTTTATCTCTTGATATTAGAAGAAAAAAAATTAAATAATCAAAAGATAAAAAAAAATAGTAATTGTTATTTATCTCACAATAAACTTGTTTTTTACCTTTTTTTTAAAAAAGCAAATACGTCCCAATCAGCTGGGTCAGGTTTGGAAGGTACATTCCTGTTTAGTGTTTACTGTTTACTGTTGTTATTTACTTTAACTTAGTGTTTTGACAATTTCTTTTAGTCGTACGCGTAGATTTTCCCGTTATTTCTACTATAGATTTCCCATTATTTTCCTGTTTTTGTAAAACTGTTTAGTTTTACTTTTTATTGATAAAATACCTCAACATTAGTAGTGACTCTCTCTCTCTCTCGTGTTTTTTTTTTTCTTTTATCACACCTACATAACATGCTTGAGCTTGCTTAGTAATTAAAAAAGAACTGGTTGTAATCATCATTTATTTATTTATTTACATATTTTCAAATATTTCTCCTACCTAACCTATAAATGTTGATTTATACCGCTTAACTGGAAAAAGACAAAAAAAAATGTAAGCTCTAAAAAACACGCATACACACAGTTGTAAAAATATATATTTACTCTCTCACCACAAAAAAAAAATGTTTTATTGTGATAATGACACAAAAAATAATTATGCATATAACCTACCTTCTTTAAAATCTTCATTCATTTATGAATAATGTTTCGTAGTTTAAATGTTATAAAATAGTAAAAACCTGCACTTTTTTGTGAGGGGAGGTGAACTGTTGAGTGTTGATTATATAAATCCGGTTGTTACACATGTAATTCTGTACTTAAAAAGTGGGTCGTTTAGTATCACTATTATTAGTCACTAAACTTGCTATTTATTTGTTTTTTAGTATCACTTTTTTCAGCACCGTTAACTAAGTGTCCATAAAAAAAAAAACCAAGTCTTTTACGATTAATTTTTTTTAATATAATTTTATCTTTTTTAACTTTTTTTACATTTACTCGTCTATTTCCTTTTTTTTTTTTTTTTTTTTTTTTTTGCACGTCGACATTTTACGATAACTATCTATCAATTTATTACTTTTTTTATCCTTGAATGAATTAATAAACAAAAAAATGTCTTGTTTTACATGTAATGACTTTTTTTTTCTTTTAAGAAAATTAAATCCTTCTTTGATTTCTTCTGCCTATCAAGAGAAAGAAATCCATAGCAACACGTTTTGTTTTGGTGCTCACGACTTTTGAGTCTTTTCTTTATTAATAAAACAATATACGTATGTATTGACTGAAAAGCACTCGTGGACATGTGGATACTGATCTAATAACAGATCTATCAAGAAAGTCCAAAACAAAATACTTTATTTACACAGACAATGGGTACGTTGACGACCGATGATGATGATACCCATCCATGTTTTCGACCGAGTTAGTTTTATTTCGATAAAACCAGAATTCCTGGTGGTTTTAAAGAATAGTGCAAAGATGATGATGCTTTTTTCTTCTCCCAACTATTTTGTTTGTTGACCTAGAGAGTCAGGCGGTAGTGGGGTGCGGAGAGAAAAATCGATATATACACCACCCCCACAACATACTTTCTCCAATGTTCATGTCGATAGAACTGTTTAATAATCCCTTTCTCTGTTATTTCATCGAAATATTGGAAATAAAGTTCGTACCCATTATTAATTGCTTTCAAATAAAAATTAATACTCTCTCTCTCTCTACCAATTGGCCATCATGCACTAGTTCATCTACTAATTACTAAACATTTTTTTAAAATTTAATGAGAAATGCAGATCGTCAGTAATGATGTTAGTTACCGTCCATAATTTTCAAATACTAATCACCACATCCTGAGGCAACAAATGTTATTTTAAATTCCTTTTCTAAAACAAAAACGTGATGCCTCTTCGTAAGACTAGAGAGGGTACCTTCAGGTACTTGGACTTCAGTACAAGGCTGCATTTGTCGAGCGCTTTTGCTGGGCTCAAGTTCATAATCGATAATTTGTTTAAGGCCAATATTACTCTCACAAATATTTCACGTCGTGGTATTTTTATATTACAATAAATGACGACCCCCTCCTACACTTACTTCCATCCGTCCTTTGAGTTTCAAAGCTTATCTTTTTACAAAGTTATGCCAAAAATATTTCTACTCGTGTGTTAATGTTTTGTGCTTTCTACATTTTTTTTTTTTTTTTTTTACCAGCGATACCGTTAAGTTTCTTTACTTTTTCGTGTTTATTTCTAGTATTCGTTAATAACTGGGTCAAGTATGGTAGGTGGGTACTTCTGTTTAGGATCAGTGTGGTATCTGTGTGCAGGTGTAATATTTTATTTACTAAGCATAGCTTAGTTATGGCATAAGTTTGTGACACCTAGTGAGAATTTAACTGATTATTAATGGTCTATAAGATGAAGTTGCTAACCATTGTACTACAAGACAGTGCATGTAATGTTTTGTAGTTTTTACAGTAATATCAATGTTGTAAAAACCTTTTTGGGTAAAAGTACAAATAATCTTTATAGTTAAAATTTTTCCACTAACTTTTCAAGACCATTGCACTGCTTGAATTTTTTTTTATCTTGGGAATTAGAGATTCTGGATAAAATTCAAAGAAGGGTCTGTAATGTAATCGATCCTGGTTTGACATCTCAACTTCAGTTACTTTCTAATCAAGTGACTTCAGTCACTTTCTGATGTGGCTTTGTATGTATAGTAAATGATGTTTGGGGCTTATTGTGTTTTAATAGTTAACAGCCAACACTTGGTTTCAAGAACACTTAAGACAAATATGGACATGGCAAAGCCCAGGAGGAAAAACAAAAAGACCAGATTGACAGCATAACTATCAACAAGTGATTCAGAAATGCAGGTTTACACTGCAAGACATATCCAAGTGCCAACTTTGGAAATGATCACTTCCCAGTGCTATGTTAGCTTAGAGTGAAACTACGGAAAATGAAAAGGATTAATGCAGCACCCTAATTGCAATATGACCCAGATCTGAAGGAAAAATATATGGACAGTGTGAAAAGCCAATAAGAGGAACAAAAAGAAAATGGAAACTCTAAGTGAGATACATTAAGAGAAGTTTTAATAACACCAACAATCAAGATCATCCCAAAGTAAAATAGACAAAGAAAAAAAAATATGAATGTATCGCAGACAAAATTTTCGACATGATGAAAAAAAGAGACAAAAACAATGCCAAGATATGGAACAGAATATAGGACACTACATAAAAAAATAAAGAACAAATGCAGGCAGGCTAAAGAGGAATGACTCAACAAAAATGTGCAGAAATAGAAAGAATGAGTATCACAGATAAAGCAGATATGCATAAAGAAAATAAGGGAACTAACAGGACAAAAGACATGCTCATCAACAGGCTGCATAAAATCCAAGGATGGAATGCTGAAATTAGAGAAAGAAAAAATATTCCAGAGATGGAACAAAAATATCTGAGAACTCTTCCATAATGAAAGAGAACAACCAGCAATGTGCAGAAATATAGATGGATTGGAAATATTAAAATCTGAAGTGGAATCTACTCTAGCTAAATTGAACAGAAACAAAACAGCAAGGCTGGACAGAATTGTAATGGAGATGCTGGAGGCCTTAGACAATTTCAGCATAGACAAGATCACAGAATAATATATGAAATGTACAACAGTGGTGATATACCGGAAGACCTAAGTAGATCTATTTTTATGGCACTGCCTAAGAAGCCAGGTGCAGACAAATGCTAACTCCATCGGGCAATCAGCTTAATGAGTCGTATGGAATTTATCATCTAAATTCTGAAGAATAAAGCATGCAGCAGAATTGGGCCTGGAAATAGACCAAGAATAGTGTGGGTTTATCAAGGACACTAGAACAAGAACATGATATTTATGTTCAGAAAGTGCAATACAAATGTAGAAAGACGTGTACCTGTGTTTTATAGATTACAATCTTAACATAAGATGACATAGTGTTGATAGCAGACAGAAAGAAAGCTACAAAACTGCCTACAGAAGGTAGTGAATGAAAGCAAGAAGAAAGGATAATACATCAACTGCAAGAAGACAGAATGCATGGTTGTTAGCAAAGGGATGAGGCCAAAGTGTGAATTGCAAATCAGAGAAATTTAAAATCAAACAATTGCAAATATTTCAATATCTGTGAAATGTTTTAACAGAGGATGGAAAGTGTGACACTGAAATCTGAAGA